GTAATGACAAAACTAATTTATATTATCTCTCCATATTATATATTATAATACGCTAATAAAGTAGATACACTATTTGTCATTGTTCGGTTTATCTTCGCTGTAAACTATATAAGATTTTTCTAAGTAATATTACAAAGATAGGCAAAGTTTTAGTTTAGACCCTAAAATTATATTTGAAAATAGCTTTAAAAATTGCATATAAATAATTAATCTTTTTGATTACAATTTTAGTTGTTGATAAATATATCCAAACACAAATTAACATTTGAATAATAATGAATGTAATAAAAAGTATGATCTATAAATTCCACACTCATCTCGCTAATTTAACCACTGATTCTAAATGATACTATATGAGTATGGACATTTACTATCAAGCCTCCCACTACAAAATCATGTTCATCCCCTTCTCAGAATATATTTTAAAATAATTAAATACTGTGTCTCATTAAAAAAGGGACATCGATTAAATTGAAAAATTTATTAATCTGAAGTAATAGCTTTCAATACCTAAATCTAGCCAAAAATTATAATTGAAATAAAAAAAATAGTAAAGTGAACAGTGAGGCCTTCCCTAAATTGGTTAAAAAAAAAATGACATCATCAATCAAATAAAGTTAGTTATGGTTTACAATAGAATATATTTTACATTAAATAAGAAGAAAATAACTTTCAAATTCAATATTTGCTGAATCTAGATGAACAATTGATCAATATAATACATTGGTACAGGATTAGTATTTAAACAAAATAAAGCAATTAAAAATATCTAAGCTAAAATTCAGAATTTCATGGTTGGAATCCATCGCAACTCTTTGCAGTTATATCTGAATAAAATCTTGATTGGTATAAATAGTGTGATAAATATTTATTATAAATTTTGAATATTTTGCTAATTATTAGATATTAGAAGAATGTATTTGACTTTTAACAGACAACCAAAATTACAGCCTAAAATTTACCCTCTTAAATGAAACTGAAATTATTATAAATTTGTTGGTTGTAGAAACAATACTGTCAAAAATTCATTAAAAATTTAAAAGATTTAATTATAATACACTTTCTCTTTCAAAATTAACACAATGCACATATTTATATCTTATATGATAATGTAGTATACTTGTAAGGATACATACTGAGTATCTATTCCAAATACATAAATTAATAGTAAACCATATATTATGAATAAGCAAATCTAAATGTTTATAAAACATTTAATAAATCTTTTTATATATCTAAATAAAAAGAAAGAGAAGTCAATATATCTTAAAGATTAGTTTATGCTATATTATATACTTTTCATTACAAATATTGGTCGACCATAAATCAT